ACCCTGTACAGGAGATCTGAAACTGTCTGCTAAGCTTCACATCTGGCCAGAGAGGCAGTCTTCTACCAGACTCCAGCTCCCTCCCTACTTCTCCTCTTCCCTCCCTCCCTCTCTCACTTCTTCCCTCCCTTTTCTTTTCCTCTGTCACCTCTCAACTTCTCTGACTCTGCATGACTCACGTCTTTGCTCTCTGTGTTTACAAACACTCTCTCTCTCAGTGAGGCTGTAAGTGTTTGTCTTTCATCCTACAAATCAGCCATTTAAAGTACTACATTGTTATTTCAGATAATGTATTTCAATCATCAGAATAGATGGTGTTGAGATTCAACACCCCCTGCTGGATGAAGATATACTTGGATACCCATGGGTGATTATATTTTATTCATGCAGTCAATATCACAAATAAGATAGCACCTTTATCAGATACTGCTGATGTAAGCTACTGTATGGCCAGGGGCCATGTTGAAAACAGTTGGGAGTCATGTTCTGACATTGCTGTAAGCAGCATAAAAAAAATTTCACTTGCATATTCATCCACCAGAGGCAGTGGTTACTCACCAGTGCAGCTCGTACTTCAAATTTTAACATGCAACATTATATGTAGACCTAGGTGATATGGCTGAAGTCAGTATTCGCTCCTTAAAAATTCTATATAAATACAGGGTTATTCAAAAAGAATGAACCGATTTCATTACGCAATATTTTATTAAGGAAAAGTAATACAAAACTCCAGCCAAGTCACAAGTATTCTACTCAAAGTCAACTTTTATTTCCTGTCTTACAAGTGTTCAATGTGGCCACCACCTGCAGCACGGGCAACATCAATGCGATAAGAGAATTCCTCCCAGGCGCGTATTAGCATATCAAGATCCACTGAGTTGATTGCTGTTGTTGTGGCCACATTGAACACTTGTAAGACAGGAAATAAAAGTTGATTATGAGTAGAATACTTGTGACTTGGCTGGAGTTTTGTATTACTTTTCCTTAATAAAATAATGCGTAATGAAATCAGTTCCTTCTTTTTAAATAATCCAGTATACTGTATATCACAATAGGGCATGTGTATGAAAAATAGTACAAAAATGTTCCACACTGCACCACATTATACCAAGCTGTTCATTTTTAACAAAACCTGCAGAAATCAATTTTTTATCAGTTTTAATTACAGTCGTTTGGAGTCATTCGGTTATGAAATGGCATTTTGTAAAACATTAAAATCATGTCATGCAAATATAATAAAAACTAGACAGCACTCAGAGTGCAAACCTCCATCAAAGCAGCTCAGTTTCCTCTTAATACCATTACACCTAAAAGCAATATACTCATGATAGTTTGACCCTCAAAATATGATTTGCTGACCATGAATGAATGCCATGAAAGGCAAAATAAATGTCCCATGCAGACTGAAATAGCATGTAGTTACAGTCCTTCACAAACACACACAACTCACATCTGCTGCATGTAATGAGATTTTACAATGTGTCTCCTTCTACACTTATTAGCTCCACTCATCTTCACTCAAGCGCTCAGCAGTGCAGATGTGCACTTTCAACACAAGGGGGCCCACATAGAGTCAACAGCTTTTTCAACACTCACAATGGTATTGAATGTTTTTAAAGGTTCCTGGATCTGGGGTGCTCCATACCCAAGTGGTTATGGCACAGACCACCACGTACCCCAGGCAGCACACTGTGTGTATGATGATGGCAGTTTGACTCAGACCACTGACATTTGTCACAGGTCTCTATCTCCCTGTTTCGTGTCTGCCTCTCTGCAACAGAATAATTAATTAAGGCTAAAAAGCCCCAAAATAGCTTAAAATAAAAATTTCTGGATCTGGATGACAATCTGGGTCATCACCAAAATGGACTGCTCCATGGGCCATACCTTACCTTTTCAAAAATCATCATCAAAATCCATTCATTACTTTATGCTGTGAATAAACCAACCAACTCCCCTGGCAGAGGTAATAATAATAATAACAGCATGACTGTATCATGTGTTGAGACAATACTGATGAAAGCCCTCAGTATTTCTCTTTTGAAGAATCCACTCCCCAAACCAGTACAATGGCAACATTTATCCATACAGGGAGTAGGGGGCCTACTCAAATACAGCAAGCTGGAGATTGGGTGTGGACCTGCAGTGGATGAATTCTGTATATACAGTACACTTCTGGGTGTACACAAATACTCCATATTGTCACTGTGTCTATCTTGATTTGGGGAAGCTACAGAAGAGTACAGAAAGCAAAGTAAAGCAACTAAAGAAAGCAAAGACAAGTAGAAATGAGATCCAACCTACTGTCTGCTAGCACTGTGACATACTGACATCATTAAAAAACTACTTAGATTTTTTTTTTCACCACAGGTTCTATGTAGTCTCAGTAAAGCCAGTCTGGTTAGTAATACTGAAACCTCTCTACAGATACATGGTAAAAATAAAAATGTGTTTAAAACCGTATTACTCCATATTTTGTTTGAAGTATCTTGTTAGTGCTGCCTTTGCTGGTCCAGGGCTGTGAAGTTCACTCACTTGAGGAACAGTTTACTGGCAAAGCTGCATTCACAGCTTTTATATAGACCATCTGTGAAAGCAGCCATTCACCACATAAGTAAAAGCAACATCGATAGCCATGTATTTATTGAACAGGACGTGACAACATCACACTTAACTTCACTATTTTTTTAATCTCTTACACTATTGTAGATGTTGCTATGACTTCCCTGCATATCACATATGCATGTGTTTATATGAAACCCAGTTGCAAAATCATTTTTATTTAATCTCAGTCTAACTCTGACAGGACTCGCAACTGGTGAACTTTGAAGAACACTATGAGAACATTATGGGTGAATATTACGGAACAGCTACCGCACAACTACAAGTTAAGAGAAACATGTTAAGATAATCAGCAAGATATCATTATGATACAATTCTGCTGAAAATATGAAAACTGCATGAAAATATGAAATGCTAAAGTTGTCAAACATATTCTGAATCATCCCCCTAACCCTAAATGATCTGCTGTTTAAATAGCTTATATCTATCATCAAAAACATTAAAACATTCTATTGATTGTAATCACTTTATTAATCTTATTAATCTCATCACATGTAGCTGGTTGTTGTTCTTCTGCTTTCCAGTCAATTTTATTCTCTGCTTGTCTGAAATGATTTTCTTCTTTTTTCACACATTTTAATAGTGGTTAGATACTGCGTTTTAAATTTTTTATTATTATTATAATAACTGTTCCATACACTTTGTGTCTAAACTTTACCACAGATCTAACAGTGTAAACTGAAACACTAAAGATATGTTCTGAGGAGGAGACTACACTATGTGACCAGGGCGTTCTTCACCTCAGCTTCTACTCCAGTTTGTTTAACACTAATATGCCTCTAACTTGTCTGCTCACCATAGAAATTACAGGAGCTTTCAACAGGCTGGAAAATCAAATGGCAGGTAATTAAATTTTCCCTCTGGTCAACAGCATTGTACATATCCATCGGTAAAATAGTTCTGACTATACATACTGTAGATACTGCGCACTCTGCACTGCTGTTATTGCACTTCTGGTTAGATGCTAAACTGCATTTCATTGCCTTGTACTTGTACATGGGTAATGACAATAAAGTTGAATCTAATCTAATCTACTGTACTCTAAACAGTACAAAATGCAGTAATGGCATTAGTACTACATTGCCCTCTACTGGCAATCCCACTGTCCTGCACTGTGTGTGTAAGTCCAAACATCTGGCATTTAGAACAAGCCGCTGACCCAGACCACAACCCTGGAAAAAGCAGAGCCACTCCAGTCTATGGCTGCTGAGGAATCTGTCAGTCAGCAACATTTCAGAGTAAAGTCTGGTCTACTGAAGATTGTATCCATGCGCTCAGCTGCTGAGCTGAGAGAGTAAACGAACTGCATAACACGACTCCACAGAATGAGACAGGGAGATTCTGTTGGATTGAATGATGAAGCAAAGGGGTTCATACTTAAGGACACTCCAACAGGCAATATAAAACATTATTGAATGACAACACTAACCAAACATACCAAAAACACAGGAAAGGTTTGACTCAGTGTGAAAAATGTTCCATACATCTTCTTCCTGAACTCCTTGAAAATCTCTAGTTGGCATATCAAGCTGCTTGTAAGTAATTTCTGCCATCCCTTCTTACCCCATATTACTTTTCTTTACTGGAGACCTTTTGCAACTCATGCTAAATATTTAATATTTTATATATATATCAATTTAAGGATAAGGATAATAATAGGATAATACACTGCTCTGGCTACATTTAACATAAGTGTCTGTTATAGGCACTCACTATTGTAGATTTTAAAAAGAAATCTGTTTATCTGTATTTCACCACCATTACTTATTGTTTATATTTTTATATATTTATTAGTAATATTAGGTAATCTGTTCAAAATAATTTCAGCATATAATTAACTTTTTACAAACACAAAAGTGTTACTAGTACTAGGTTTTCTTGCCATGTCAGCAGTAAACTTTGGAAAAAGATTTTTTTCAGATTTTGTATTTGACTGACATTTGATTTGTTTGATGAGCATCACCTGTTTGTAGTTCCTCTGCTGTTACTACTCTTCCCATCTTATACTGCACACTTTGTGTTTTGTTTTGAATAAATGCTGAGTCTTGATCACCTTGCTAACATCCGAGCACAGCAAACCTGGAACAGACTTTTTTTTCACAGCAGACATTTTGACTTATCATAGCAGGAAAAGCACACGCAGGAACTAATAACATTAATATTGACTCATGCAGCAATTAGTGATTGTACATGACACATTTTACCTTAGCTCAGGAACTGAGCTTGAATGCCTGTTTGCTCAGAACATTTTCATGCCAAAGGTTACTTAGGGTGTTTCAAAGTCTGGGAGAGGATGAGTCATCTGCAACTCACACTAATCAAACCTACACAGCTGTAACAAAGCAAAGCTTGGTAGCTAACAACCACAGTAAGCTTACCATGGAGACGTATGTTCCTGCTGCTGGGCCATTTTCTTCCTCCCCTGAACCAATTACAATGTCTTCAGACTTGATGACTTCCACCTCTGGAGAAATACACACAACACAGTTGAATCAGTCCAATGACAAATCCTCCAAATGTGGGAATCAGTAACAAGTGTTTACACTGAAAAGAGCTTAGACTTAACTATTTTCTCTGCAGGTACACAACTGGACACACCAATACCGCTTTTTATCAGAATGAGTATGGGTAAAAGTATTTACAATTGAGTACATGCCAATACCAAAAACGTACTTAATAATGATGCAGTGTATCTACTATAAAAATTATAGTTACCATAAAAGTGCAGTGACTTTAGAGAAAATTTTATTTTCATGGGATTTACTTTCTGATTGTGATTAAATCACATATACATCAGGAGGCTGTGAAAACTAACTTAAAACTTAGTGTGTAAACAAACATGACATCACTACACCAATTACAGTAAATGTAGCATGAAACTGGGTTTTATTACTACACAAATACTATAATACAGTGGTTCTTCACCTTTAAGGAGAGCCACCTTCTTTTAGGATGAATTTTTTTGCAAGACCCCCCTATCCTACCTGGAACCCCAAGGTTTAGGAGAATGTCACCCTCAGCAATATAAAATATAAATTAAAAACGGCGCTAACTGTCAGTGGCATGATCCTGTACTGTCTGCTGGACAGAAACTGCTGTAAAGCAGCTGCTCTGTAATCATTAACTGGATAAAATTAGCATTTGTTCACTTCTTATTCACAACAATTCACTACAATCAGCATACAGCAGTGGATGAACAGGGGACCATGTGAGTTTACCACAAGTAGAGTGAAGACATATTTCTGCTTATTCAGCACAAGTTTGATAATTTGCTCGTACTTTCTCCATTACTGGCAGATTTGAATTCTGCTGTGTGTATGTGTGCATATGTTTGTGTGTCTGTGAGAAACCCTCCCTCCCTGTCTTGCTTGACCGACACTCAATGTGAGGTTAATGGTTGTTGCCATTAAATGGTATTGGTATGTAGTATCAGACAACTTTTATGAGTACAAGTACTAGAGGATGGTATCGGAGCTGATACAGGTATGATGCATGATGCAAAACTGTGTAGAATAATGATATGGCAGACTAGTACTAAACTAGTACTAAAACTTTCCTTAGAGGCAAATAATCATTTGAATGTAAAATAATTATTTTTCATTCTTTGGTTATTAAAAAAGAACACAAATGGCCCAGGGATGCCACACTATGATTATCGGAGATGCTGAAAAACTGGTCCAGGCATTTGTTACTTCCAGGCTGGACTATTGTAACTCTTTACTATCAGGATGTCCCAATAATTTCCTAAAAAAGTCTCTAGTTAATCCAAAATGCTGCAGCCAGAGTACTAACAGGAACTAGCAAGAGAGATGATATCTCTCCCATATTAGCTTCTCTCCACTGGCTCCCTGTAAATCCAGAATAGAATTTAAAATCCTTCTTCTAACATACAAAGCCCTTAATGACAAGGCTCCATCGTATCTTAAAGACCTCATAGTGCCTTATCATCCCAACAGAGCACTTCGCTCTCAGAGTGCCGGTCTACTTGTGGTTCCTAGAATCCACAGAAATAGAATGGGAATCCAAGGCTTTAGCTATCAAGCTCCTCTCCTATGGAACCAGCTCCCAGTCTCAGTTCGGGAAGCCAACACCCTCTCTACCTTTAAGATTAGACTTAAGACTTTCCTTTTTAATAAAGCTTATAGTTAGGGCTGGATCAGGTGACCCTGAGCCTTCCCTTAGTTATGCTGCTATAGGTCTAGGCTGCTGGGGGGCCCCATGATGCTCTGAGTTTCTCTCCTCTCCTCCCCCTCCTCTACCCACCTCACATCTCCTCTTCTTTCTTCATCCATCTACAGGTGCAGCTCAATAAATTTGAATATTGTGGAAAAGTCCATTCATTTCGGTAATTCAACTCAAATAGTGAAACTCGTGTATTATATACAGCCTTGTGGAGGTCCACAATTTTGTCTCTGGTGTCTTTTGACAGCTCTTTGCTCTTGCCCATGGTAGTAGTTGGTGTCTGACTGACTGTGGGGTGGACAGGTGTCTTTAAAGAGCTCAGACAGGTGCTACTAATTTAGATTAATGAGTGGAGTAGAGGAGGACTTTTTCAAGGCACAGTAACAGGTCTTTGAGAGCCAGAATTCTTGCTGTTTCTCAGGTGTTCATTCCAAGCATGTTAATCAGAAAGTTGAGTGGTAGGAAAAAGTGTGGAAGAAAAAGATGCACAACCAACCAAGAGAACCACAGCCTTGAGAGGCTTCTCAAGCAAAACTGATTAAAGAATGTGGGTGAACTTCACAAGGAATGGACTGAGGCTGGGGTCAAGGCATCAAGGGCCACCACACACCACCGTTTCAAGGAATTTTGGCTACAGTTGTTGTATTCCATTCCATTCCTATTCCTCTTGTCAAGCCACTCCTGAACCACAGACAATGTCAGAGGTGTCTTAGCTGGACTAAGGAGAAGAAGAACTGGACTGCTGCCCAGTGGTCCAAAGTCCTCTTTTCACATGAAAGCAAGTTTTGTATTTCATTTGGAAATTAAGGTTCTAGAGTCTGGAGGAAGGGTGGAGAAGCTCATAGCCCAAGTTGTTTGAAGTCCAGTGTTAAGTTTCCACAGTCTGTGCTGGTTTGGGGTGCAATGTCATCTGCTGGTGTTGGTCCACTGTGTTTTTTGCAAACCATAGTCACTGCACCTGATTACCAAAACGTTTTAGAGCACTTCATGCTTCCTTCTGCTGACTAGCTTTTTAAAGATGCTGATTTTATTTTCCAGCAGGATCTTGTGCCTGCCCACACTGCCAGAAGCACCAAAAGTTGGTTAAATGGCCATGGTGTTGGTGTGCTTGACTGGCCAGCAAACTCACCAGACCTGAACCCAATAGCGAATCTATGGGGTATTGTCAAGAGGAAAATGACAAATGAGAGACCAAAAAAATGCAGATGAGCTGAAGGCAATGACTGTGAGCAGCTGGGGAAACCCTCACCTACTGACACATTAATACTTTTCCACAGATTTCAATGCATCTTCAGTGACTTCCCACATAAGGCCCAATGTCGCCTATTCTGCTGTTAAATACATTTTCACTTAAATTGTATGTGAGTGTTCCCACCTTACCTGCACCAATCAGTTTAGAAACTATTTATGAATAAATAAATGGAAAAATTGACAGCAGACAAAACTTCTCCTGTCTCACAATATACATCATATCACCCAGACTTAGCTAATTCAAGTGTTAGGGACTATGGTGGTGAACCCCATTCAAGCGTTCAATTTATCAAAATCAAAAGATGGGCTCCAGAAATCTTTCATCTCATCTCATTTTCTATACCGCTTAGTCCCAAACGGGGTCACGGAGGGTGCTGAAGCCAATCCCAGCTAGTACCAGGCGAAAGGCGGGGTACACCTTGGACAGGTCAGCGGTCCATCGCAGGGCCAACACATAGACGAACAACCACACACACACACCCCAGACGAACAACCATACACACACATTCACCCCTATGGGCAATTTAGAGTCACCAATTAACTGAAGCTGCATGTCTTTGGACAGTGGGAGAGAACCCACGCAGGCACAGGGGGAACATGCAAACTTCGCACAGAAATGTCGCAAACCTGGAACCTTCTCGCTGTGAGGCAACGGCGCTACCCACCGTGCTTCCCTCTCAGGAATTACTCTCCATAAAATAGTTTAGTATTTGTTTGATTTTAAGTATTCACTAGAATCATGCTGGATATTCACACCTTTATACTGAAACCATGACACAACAGAAAGATTGTTTCTAATGGCCTGTAAATATATCCCCTTGTTTATACTGACAACACTCTGTGTGACACACAGCACCAACTGTTCCCTGGTCCACTCTTTATTGTACTTGGGTCCAAGTACAATTATTCCTGATGACTGAAAACTGCCCACAAAAGAGTGCCAAAGTTGCCTCAGAGAAGAGAGACTCACTTCATGCTCCATACTTGCATCATCTGGTTTAGTACAGTATGTTTGTTTTGGACAACCAAACCTTCTAGCTGTGCGTCTGAGACCTAGTCACATGTGCTGGTAATGTGATTGTGCCTGCTGAGATACAGTATACAGTTGCAAGAGTGTGCATGTGTACATGAGACAGAGTCACAGACAACACAGAACATATATATGTATATATATGCATATTATAAAAGCATATTTGCTGTTATTTAACACATCACATTGTTTATGTCAAGCATAAACAAATGTGGCAAAAGGGACTGTGCTACTGTCACATTTTTGAAAAATCCCAAGGAATTACTAAAAGCTAAATCCTCATTTGAAAGAAGCACCAAAAAAGCAAAAATATGTTTACACAACAGCAATCTATCATAACAGGATGTCACACAAAAGCCAGAAACCTTTGTGAGTGCAATTATGCTGAACTACACTGTATTTAGCTTTGTGGAGCTATAGCCATTAATCACCAGAGGAGCTCTATATGTCTTTTTGGTCTATTTATTTAGGAGTAAGACAAACACACTGCTCTGTGATGTATCTGAATGTGTGGCACCAGAATAAACCAGAAATAGGCCTGGAATAAATCGGTGTTTGCCCACCTTGGACTGCATTGTTGTGGCTGTCTGAGGCGCCATCCATTGTGTCAAAAGTCTCTGGATTTTCATTCAACCTATTCTCAACAAGTGGTTCACTGGATACTTCTTTGTTTGGAGAAGGTGCACTGTCAGAAACTGAAGTGACACCCTGTGATGAAGACACATTTATCCAATTTTCTGAGTGCCTTAATCCATTATCAGGTGACAATTCATCTGCTGTCATCTCTGAATGATCCTGTTTCGGTAGCACAATTAGCATGTTTCCACTCTCCTCCATGGTGGCCACCACGTTAGCCTCTGTTGACTGATGAACTTCTCCAACTGGGCCAGAATCCTCGTTCTCTTCTGCAACAGATGAATTAGGTTCAAGTAAGACCACTGTGGTGATCTCTGATGCAGCATGCTCAGTCGCTGCATTCGGGTCAGTGCTGTCCAGGGCCTCTCCATGTTCACTTTCATCGACCTCCACCACTGGAGGATCCCCACTCTCTGACAACGCCAGAACTAATAATAGATCTTCCTCTTTGAAGAGTTCTGGGGTGAGGTTCTCTCCTGTTCCCTCAGCACTCAAAGTCTTCATTATCTGGAGGCTGGTTGACAGCTGCGATTCAGGCTGAGTGATAGTTTGGTCGAAATCTGTCCCTGTCAGTGCAGTGACAGTCCCCTGCTCCAAGGGGAGCAGTGGGTCCATGCCCACATTTACTGACTCTTCACTGCTTTCACCAGGGTTCAGATCATTTTGTTCCTCCATCTTGAATCTTGCTGAGGATAGTTCAGCTAGCTTAACTTTAAACAAGTCCTGATTCTCCATAGTGCCACTGTCCTGAGTTGGATGAAAAATCTCTGTCAAGGAGTTTTCAACTGATCCAAAACTGCCAACGTCATCACTGGATTGGCTATGGGCCATGCCTGAATCGAGATCAGCATATCCATTACCAGAGCTGGGCATAATTTTAGGCGATGGTTCACAGTCAAGTTGATCAGTCCATGTGTCTTCCATGGAATTAACAGCAGTCTGACAATCAGCTGTATCGCCAAGTTCGTCAATACTGTATTCAGAAGGTTCGGCTATGTCTTTACTATCTAGCTCTTTACTGCTTGCTGTTCCAGTACTATTCCCAGAATGACGGCCAGTTTCTGTAGCCAAGCCCCTCTGCTGCTCTGTAGCATAATCCTTAACAGCTGTTTCCTGGTTTTGTTTAAGGCTGTTTATGTCTGGTGGAGGTTCCCCCTTGTGGAGGCTTTCTATCAGGAGATGTGGAACAACAGATTTAGGCTCCTCGATTACATCATCACAGTCTATCAGCGATTGGTCTGGTAGGTCCCCTGTGGTTGTTAAAGGGTCTTTCAACCCTTCACCCTCTGCCTTCTCATTGTCACAGAGCTCCTCCACTGGTTCAATCTCTCCTGCCTGGGAGCACTCCATTTCAAAATCAGAGATGTCTGAAACCTCTGAAACCTCTGACGACGGCGACTGGCCCATGACTAAAGCTTCCGTGTCTCCACTGGGCGTTATTATTAGATCTGTTGACTTTGAGTTGGTCTCCTCCTCCCTGGCTGTGCTGTCCTGTGCTTCCTGCTCAGATCTGTCCTCTCCTTTCGCGGCTTCCTGGATCACAGCCTCTCCTCTATCAGTTTCCGCTGCTTGTTTACTACAGGCTGCTAGTGGCAAGATTCCCACAGTGAGGCTTGCTGCTTCAGCCTCACTCTCTGCTCCTTCACTCCTGTCACACCAACTTAACCTCTGGGCAGAAACAACAGGCTGCTCTCTTCCCTCCTCCTCTGCTTGGCAGTCATCTCTCCCAGTGTTTGCACTGAGACACACCCCGTCCTCTGGGGGGCTGAGGCCATGCTCCTGGGGGTGTTCTTCAATCGTAGGAGTACTCACAGACAAACTCCAGTCTTTGTCTGCATTCCCAGTCTCACCATGTCCACAATCAACAACACTGCTGTTTTTCACTGGGCAGTTTTCTACCCAGCTTCCTTCAGCGTCCAGGCACCCTGATGCTGTAGCAGGCTGCTGCGGTTGCTCAAGACAGGTTATCTTCGTTTCTACACCTTCACAACATTCAGCGTCGGTGTGAAGAGAATCAAACTGCAGCTCCAGTACAGAAGCTCCCTGCAGAATATAGAAAAGGAGGATAAACATTAGCTTTTCCCTGAGAGAACTCAACAAAGCTACACTCTATCTCTTATCAATTGCCAACTGTGTGATTGCATAAGGTGTTCCACCAGTTATACAAACTAAGCTTGAAGGTTATTAAGGCAGTGAAAAAAACAAACAATCTAACAATGTTCAGCAGCAGCAGAGCTCCTGGGTGAAGCCAGTGTAAGTAGAGAAACCATGCTAAAAGGACTCACCGAGGCATGAAGATGGCATATCATGTGCAGCAGCTGCTCCACACTTCTTTGAAGGGTCGGAGGTTCGTGGCCAGAGTGAATATTTAGTGTCAGAGTGTGTGTGTTCAGCCTGGGGAGGTGGCAGACTACCTGTGTATCTGCAGAGACCAACGGGCCACTCTCAGTCCCTCTGTTTGTCTCTGTGCCCACGTCAGCCCTGTCATGAAATAAACACTTAGACATCCCACACGGTCTGTAGCATGATTAGCTAACACAACACAGATCTGCTTTCAACAGAAGGTTTAAACAGTGATGTCAGCCAGTTCACACTCCCACTTTTTTTCAATAATCATTGTGTTTACTGTATCTGTTGTCTCTAGAGTGGCAAAGACCAGTAGTCAAATGCTGTGGTTATAAGAATCTCATCTAACCTTTTAGCAGGTAAGCAACCTACAGAGATGCTCCTGAGTAATAAAAGAGCTATTAAATGTTAACAAGTCCCAAAACATTGTCAAGTCAAACAAAAATGTTACTTTCCTGCCCAGTAGTAAAATGCAGTCTGCAACACCCTACTTAAAGACCACTCCTGGTTGATAAGCTTTCCAAGAAGACTCCCATTTGCTGACACTGCTTTAAGTGTTTAAGGTAAAAGTATGTGCAGTGTTTTTGTTCATAAAGACAGCTCTGTAAAAAGGAGACACCTCCCAGTGAGACAGATCTGTTTGTGTAATCCTGGGTTGATTGCTTTTAGCTGGGAGGCCCAGCAGCTGTGATCACCAGCAAGGCTGCAAGTGACTTCACTTTTCATGAGGGAAATGTAATTACCGGCATATAAAGAAAATGCTGTAGGTTGTAAAACAACTTCAGTGCACACTTGGCAATGAGCTCGCTCATTAAGTGGTAGTTGTCTTTCAGCTTGTGCCATCTTCATTTTGAGTTAAAACTATTCTGTAGCAGAGAGGTAGTGTTTAAAACACATAAAGGGGGTCAATTTCAATGTTAAGATGTGTCTCAGTCCATTTGCCAAAAAGCTGTTTTTCTCCTGCTGTTTAATGTTTCACTATAAAGGGATGAAAAGAATCTGACCTTACCAGTCACTCAGAAGGAACATGCTATTAGGGATAATACATGACATCTGCAAACAAAACACATACATCTCCTTCCCATTAAACTCAGCTGAGGCAAAACTATAGCATCTTTGGATGAAAGCTGTACATACTGAGATGTTGTGGAGAGTTATTACAACAGGTCAGTAGACACAGAAGTCGTAATGTTGCAAAATACTTTCCCATCCCTCTGGATTCCACTGAAACAATAACGGCAGCCCATAACTTTTCAATTTCCCCTAAGCTACAGTATATGACTGCAGCTGAAATTGCTAAGCTAGGCAGCAGTGTTGTTCCTTGAAGACAACAAACAAACAGCATTGCCCTAAAAGGCCTGCAGGAACCAAACCATCTGCCCTCTGATATGTTTACATGACAATGTTTGAAAGTAGAAGAGGGCAATGTTCACTGAAACTCTGAGCTAATATCACTGTCAAACAGTGCAGAGACAGTTTGGACAGACTGTTTTTCTTAGCGGCTTTGGAGGAGAAGGAATCTTTTCACCTGAAATTAAGCATTCTATTTGATAAATCCTGTCAAAGGTGGAAATATACAAATAATAAATATCAATATCATAATGCCATACACATTTTTCAACTTTTCACAAATAACAATTTTGTTTGCATTCTTTACTCTGCTTGTATATATTTCCTTGATTGTTTTTGAAGAAATATGAAACTGAAAAGAGTTTTACTATGACACTGGATTATCTTTATAGAACAGTCTTTCACTTTCATAACAAGATCTGTTTGGTGCTTACGTTGTGAGGAGCTTGTGAAGATGCTGTTGTCCTCGTAAATCTGCAATGTCAGATGGGGTGTGGCCTTGTCTGTTGGCCAATCGCAGGGCTTCTCTGGCTCCAGACTGCTGCAGCAAGAAGTGTGTAACCCGAAACAGACCCCGACGAGCTGAGAAATGCAGCAGAGTCTCCTGAGGATTCAGGTCTGCAGAAGAAATACAACATGCAAAATACAGGAATAAATCCAGAAAGAAAGAAGAAACTAAAAAGAAAGAAGAAGGCAAGAGTTCAAGCAGATGATTCATGGTGCAGTAGCTGACATACCATCATTTGCAGCAGCTTGGCAACAACAGTGGCGCCTAATTAAACTGGCACAGGATTCACAGAATCCTAATAACACCATCAAACACTGCAAACACTGAACCCCCCATTTACACATCCAAAAAGAAAGTAATAAGCACACGTACATACACACACACACACACCTTTTTCTGCCAAAGCAACAGGTTTCCAACCAAGGTGAATGCTATTGATTATTCACGAAATGTTCTCATCTCAAGTAAAATCTATGTAATATAATCTACGTATCTGTGTTGAGTTGAAAATATTGTTTAAGAAGTTGCCCAATCTTTTCTGTTAATATTAGTATCTTTTACTCTCTGATCTACTGTCAACTTAAAAAGCCAGTCCTAAGAAATAAGGCAGGCCTGTTTAAAAGTGTGGTAAAGAGAATTCTGCAGTTCAATAAATGGTAATTTAAGAGTGAAAACTGGAATATATAGACCACTGGAAAGGACAGAGAAGGGAGCAGGAAACATTTTAGTGTCTGTTATCAGTCAGCAGGCAACATTTGCAATGCTGGTTGTGTCTGCTGATGAGGGGGTTTCACTCCATTTACCATGGCTTTGTCTGGACCAGCCTGCTCTGATCAACCTCAGGCTAACTGGTCAAATTTAACGCTCTGCTTGGCCGTGTTGTGCCGGACTGGAATGTGAGGTACCAAACAGCAGCAGGAAATGCTGTACTGCTGGGTATGATGGTGGTTCCTGAAATATGGCTGGACAGTCATAACACTTTCATACTCTGGCACCTGGATAGGTTCACCTGGTATGTACATGTAGTTACAGCAATTTGCTGCAGTACAGAAATCACCAACATGTCCCTGGTAGGCTAGTGGTTAAGACGCAGCACTCTTGCCACTGCGCCCCGGGTTTGAATCAAGGTTGCGTCAAGAAGGGCATCCAGCGTAAAACATGTGCCAAATGTCAACATGCGAGTAGTCAGTGTGATGATTCACTGTGGCGACCCCTAAATGGGAAAAGCCTAAAGTGACTTTTTTTCTTACAGAAATCACCAACATAAAGTGCCATATCACAAAGTTCCAGTCTTCATGAGCTTCATCGCTCCATGGCAGAAATCCTAGCTAGCTAGCTGCTTGTTGTGTGGATGCTGCTGTTCCAGCATCCACACAACAAGCAGACTGTCTCGTCTCTCCGAGGTAGCAATGGGAACAAGAACCAAAGAACAACAGCAT